TCAAAAATGGAGGACTGGAGATGGAGACTGGAGATCCCAGTTTGAGCACTTTCTTCAAAAGAAACCCATTTTGGTATCAGAAGAAAAGTTGTAGAGAATCAAAAATTAGGCTTATAGCCAAATTTCCAAAAAGATACACTTAGTAGTTTCGCTTAAAATGCAAGTTTTGTTGCAAGTTTTGTGAAAATTCGTAAATTTGGCATTTCTTGAAAACCAGTTTTTGAATCGTTCTGAAAATTAGGATATAAGCTTGATTTTTGATTCTCTACAACTTTTCCATTGACACCAAAATGGGTTTCTTTTGAAGAAAGTGCTCAAACTGTCACATATAGCCGGCCGTTTTCAATTCACCAACCCAATAAATCACTGGTAATGAGGTTTTTGAATTTACAGCTAAATTCTAGTATTTAAACAAGCTGCTTTGGGTTTTTACCATGAAATGGAATGTGTTTAAGAGTTTTACTATGGCTTAGCGATTGTTGCTTTCTCTGATAGCGATTGCCTTTTAGGATTTAAGACTTCTATTTTAGAATGTAGATAAAGATTTTTGATTTTACAAGGGAATGACACCAGCTAGAAGTTGAGAATCGCTATCTGCATCTGCATCTCATAGAATCGCTGATTCTGAAGCTATAAAAATTAGCTTCAAACACCCACGCAATCTGATCTAGAAAAGCGATTGCTTGCGCGTTCATAAATTGAGTTTTAAGTTCTTTTCGAAATGACAAAATTGCAAAATGGGAATTTGGGTGTTTTTGATTGAAAACCTACTTTAAAAATGTCAAATTCGTGTTCAGCGCTCTTGATTACCCCTAGAAAAGTGAAGAAATGAAAAATTTAGGTAATCAAAGTACCAGAGTTGGCTACATTTTTTTAAGATTTAGTAACCAACTAGTATTTCAATATTCCATGAAATCTGCAAACGGAAAAAAGTTTACTTTCGGAAATCTTAACAAATGATCTCAAAAAGATCTCAAAAAGATCTCGCAAAGATCTCACAAATGATCCCACAAAGATCTCACAAATGATCTCACAAAGATCTCACAAATGATCTCACAAAGACCTCGCAAATGATCTCACAAAGATCTCACAAATGATCTCACAAAGATCTCACAAATGATCCCACAAAGATCTCACAAATGATCTCACAAAGATCTCACAAATGATCTCACAAAGACCTCGCAAATGATCTCACAAAGATCTCACAAATGATCTCACAAAGATCTCACAAATGATCCCACAAAGATCTCACAAATGATCTCACAAAGACCTCGCAAAGATCTCACAAAGATCTCACAAATGATCTCACAAAGATCTCACAAATGATCTCACAAAGATCTCACAAATGATCTCACAAAGACCTCGCAAATGATCTCACAAAGATCTCACAAATGATCCCATAAAGATCTCACAAAGATCCCACAAATGATCTCAGCTTCACAAAGGGTTTCTCCCAATAATTCCTTCATGTAGCCTTTCCATTTATTCACTAAAATTGTACAAAAAAAAAGATAAAGGTAGTTTTTCTGAAAAAAAATCGTCTAAAACTATCGTCTAAAAAGTCGTCTAAAACTTTTCAATCGTTAATTTAGAAACGTGAGCGATGACCGTCGGAAACGACAAATCGGCTATTTCAGCCCGTCCTACAATGCTCTCATTCCCTATTCTTTCTATCAAACACAATATTTACTGCCACTAGTTACCTACTATCAACCCCAATACTACTATTATCCGACCTATTATTATCCAACTTATTCATATGCTCAACCATCGTATGCATATCCCACTGCAGCCCCATATTACCCGACTCCTCCGCCTCTTTATGCGACTCCGGCACCAATGTAAGACAAAATTATATTAAATTATATTAAATTGCGTTTTATTAAAATCAATTCTCACTAAAACCGAATTAAAATCGATTTTCGAAACCGAATTTAGCTACAAAAAGCTCTAAGAACTCTTAGAACTCTAAGAAACACGTATTTTTAATTTTTTTGAAGAAAGAAAGAAATTTGATGTTAAAATGCATATTTATTAAAGCAAAAATAGGGGGGTGGGACAAATGCTACCTTTTTTTTGCGCACCTGGACATTTGCGCACCTTTTTTTTTGCTGGAAAAGGCTTTAGGCAAGGCCGTAGAGCTTCGACAATATTTCCATATCAGGGAATCGTATACGTAGATTCCGAATTTCGACAAATCAGACCTCGCTGACACGTCAAATTTGGGCTAAAAGGCAAAAACTGCGGAAAAGCGTTAAGTTGCGTAGTTTTTGCCTTTTAGCCCAAATTTGACGTGTCAGCGAGGTCTGATTTGTCGAAATTCGGAATCTACGCATACGATTCCCTTCTATGAAAATATTTTTGAAGCTCTACGACCTTGCCTAAGGCCTTTTCCAGCAAAAAAAAGGTGCGCAAATGTCCAGGTGCGCAAAAAAAAGCTCGCATTTGTCCCACCCCCCAGAAATAGATTTAAAGTTAAAATGCACCTTCTCTCAATAATCTCCCACAACACGAGCCCCATCGAATAATGTCGATGAGATGTTTCGATGAGATGCCTAAAATTAATGCCAAGACTCTATCGCAGACTCTATCGCAGACAGGAGAATTAGCTGCTACGTACCTAAGAAACACGTAAACACGAAACCGAATTTAACTATAAAAAGCCTCCGTAGAACTCTAAGAAACACGTATTTGCAAAAAAAAAAAAGCAAAAAACTTTGGCGGTAAGCGGAATTGAACTCACGAGCAAAAACGGGGCAAGTCTCGGAAGCCAACGCACTATCCCCTAGGCCACATCTGTTTCTACTCCCTCTCGGCGTTGTGCCCTCTTATAGACCCTGGTTTCCGAGAAAAACGTATTCAAAGTTTCGACAATTTTTGGCAAACCTCATATATAAGAGGGCGCCATGCCAAGAGGCTTTAGAAGCAGCGGCAGTCTAGGGGATAGTGTGCTAGATTCCGAAACCTCTGCCCGTTTTGCTCGCGGGTTCAATTCCGCGCGCCGCCAAATTTTTTTGCTTTCTCGAAAAACTTCCGAAAAACACTTCTATTATATTATTATAGTGTTTTAGCCTTTTAGCCATTTATTAAAGGCAGCTTTTAGCTATTTATTAAAGTTTTTAGCTATTTATTAAAGTTATTAAACCAAAACTAGCCAAGATACCCTTTTGAAGCTGACCTGAAAAGCTTATCATCTTTAATACTTGATAAATTATTGATAAACCGATTTACTTTATTCATTTCTATGCATTGCCAAGAATTGTATCACTAAGCCCAACTGCTGATAGTTTGTTAGTGCAAATCGGTCCTAATTCTTATACAGTGGCGGACAATTAAATAGAACCGATGCTCCATTTGCACAAAGACCACGAATTTTCCATTATTTTCACACCCATTCAAAAAGACATCAATAGTTCTTTTTTTTTTGATGTTATCTTAGCTTTCGATTGGAAAACTTAATTAAACAAAACTAAGCAAAAAAAACTAATTAAATCGAAAGTTTCGAAAAAAAGCAGATTTCAAGATCGGTTCTATTTAATTGTCGCCGCTATAATGGGGTAGGCTGAAGAAAACCTAAACTACCAAGTTACAGAGAAAGAGCTTTCAGCTAAGTGCGGTGCCAATCGAAAGCTAAGATAACATCAAAAAAAATAACTATTGATGTCTTTTTGAATGGATGTGAAAATAATGGAAAATTCGTGGTCTTTGTGCAAATGGAGCATCGGTTCTATTTAATTGTCCGCCACTGTAAATGATTAGCTTGAATTCTTTAAAGCTTTAAATTATTAGGTTGAGGAAAAAGTAATGTCGGTTTTTGTCACAAAACTTTTTATTGCTAAAAACTTAAAAAAACGCACATCAATCAATGAGATATTCTCAATTATTATTGTTGTTTGTTTGTTTTACTTGTTCCCATTTTTGTCGCAATTCCCTGATCCCATCCTGGAGTTTTCGAGCCAAAATAAGTGTCGACTGCTAAAATGACAACAAATCACTTGTGAATTAGCAACAAAGTACTCGATTTGAGCGAAAAAAACCCTTAAATTAGCAACAAACGGCCTAAAACAGTCCATTATCTTGGCATTTCAATTTTCAATATTTTTTTTGTTCTGTGCATGATTCTCGAACTTTTCTCCCATAAGAAAACTCTTCAACGGCCGAAACAAAAAATAGTCTGATGGTGCCGGACTCTAAGGTGCGTGGGGCAGAAGTTTCCAACCAAGCTCGTCGATTTTTTTGGTGAGTGATTTTTGCAGCGTGAGGTTTTGCATTATCATGCAAAAATGGCACTTTTGTTGTTTCAACGCCCAATTTCTTTAAAGTCTCATTAAATCTCATCAACTATTTTGAATAAAGATCAGCGGTGACAGTTTCGAGTGGTAAGGGTTGGATTGAGTTCAATGGCATCAAGCAAATCCTCATCTAAAATCTCTTGGGGTCGTCCAGGCCGTTCCTCGTCTTGGAGACTTTCATTTCCATCTTTTAACCGTTGAAATCATATTTGGCATCATCTTTCGCTAATGCTGTCTTCCACAAAAATTTCAATGATTGTCCGATGCGATTTAGCCGCGGATTTTCCTTGTTTAAAATCATACCAAAAAGCGGCTCGAAGTCGAAACTTTCCGTGTTGCATTTTGTACCTGAAAATATTGTTAAATTTGTAAAAATTTGTGAAAATCAAATATAATATGAAACCCTGGCGTATAAATATAAAGATAGAGCGTCTAGCTCTATACTTTCATAGTCTAGCTGATATCAATTTGAAAAAATCTAGCTCGAGCGTCTAGCTGATATCAATTTGAAAAAATCGCATAAGCAAAGAAATGGAAAATTGCGAACAATGGGAATTCAAAACCGACATCACTTTTTCCTCCAACCTAATAGCTTAAAACCTATAGAATACATAGATTTTCTGAAAAAATTGTACAAGAATCAAGAATTTCTCAAATCGTGAATCTTTTTTCAGGCCCGTAACTCCTCCACTAGCAATGTTCCAGAAAATGGCCGCTGACATCGTCCCGGTGACAACGAGTACAACTCCGATAACAAGTGAGTGACTGGTTTTGTAGAGCTTGTAGTGAGACAGGTTTTATAGATCTTTTGGGGAAAAGTGAGGGGAAAAGATGAGAATTTGAACACTTAAAACTTGAAATGAAGGCTTAAAAGCAGCATTGCTTTCAAGGTTAAACAGTTTTAACCAAGTAGCCAAGCCAAGTAGCCAAGCCAAGTAGCCAAGCCAAGTAGCCAAGCCAAGTAGCCAAGCCAAGTAGCCAAGCCAAGTAGCCAAGCCAAGTAGCCAAGCCAAGTAGCCAAGCCAAGTAGCCAAGCCAAGTAGCCAAGCCAAGCAAAGTACACCAATAGTATTGGTGTACTTTGCCCTTATCCCCAATCCTTTTTTATCCTTTTGTTTAGAAATTCCTATCAATTGGATTGATTCATTTCTTCTTTCCCGTTAATTAAAAAATCAATTTCCATCGATTTATTTAGCGACAACTCACGAAGAGTCTCAAGAAGAAATCGTTGAGATCACTGTCACCGATGAGGCGATCACTGAGGATTCGTTCTCTTCGTCGGCTTCACCGGGCTTTCAGATGCCACAAATTCCACAAGGATTTGCTGCTGACATGTGAGTTTCACAATTGTTCAATCGATTTCGATCGAGTTCAATCGATCGTTTCAATCAATGCTCTGTTTTCAGGGCCAACCCTATGTTCACTCCACATCTAGCTGAGTAAGTTCTTTTAATTTAAGATATAGAGAAAGAAAATTTGCGTTACCGCCTTTGCACATCACAAATCTGAATGGAAAGGCTTACTACTTACTCAGCTTACTTTTTTGGCTTACTTTTTTGGTTGCAATTAACTGTTTGTTTTAGGAACAAAACGGCGACAAATGGTCTGGGAACAACGGCAATCAGTTTAACGAGTCTGGCTTCAACGACAACATCAGATACAACTGTGACATCAACAACGACAACTGCGTCAACCACAACTAGTACAACTACAACAACAACTACAACCACTACAACGACAACAACGACGACAACAACAGCAACGACGACAACAACGACAACAACAACGACGACAACAACAACGACAACAACGACAACAACGACAACAACGACAACAACGACAACAACGACAACAACAACGACGACGACAGCAGCAACAACAACAACGACAACAACTACAACTACTACGACTACAACTACACCAGAAGATGATGAGTCAGTCGAATTTCAATATGAAGACATGGAGGTCACAACAACGCTTAAACCGTCACGTATCACATCCCCAGTACCTCCCTTAAATTCAAACCCCCAACTACCAGCGCCAACCACTTCACCAACCATTTTCCAATCATTTTCTCATACCACCAAACCGTCCAAATTCTGGAGCGATCTCAATGCAAACAATACAAAAACTTCTGACTTTGATAACATCTCGAAAATCAGTGCTCGAAATTTTGAGAAAATGAGAAATTTTAACCCAAAGAACTACACGATGAGCAGGGACAAGATAAAGAAAAGAATCGATCGACTACAGAAAAAGGGAAACTGGACACAGAGTGGACCGGAAGTTTTCGATCACATTTCGAATATCATCGACAATTTGGCGATGCCGACTGATGAGGATCTTGAAGGGGAATCGCAGAGGATTGCTGTCACACAAAAGATTGCTGTCACTAACAAGAAAACGGCTTGATGTTCGGGAATAAATGTTGATAAAGTGTTGCAAAAAAAGCACCGAATGTTTGCCTTGTGTTGTTCACAGAGTTAGGTAAAACTTGAGAGACTAATGAGCAACTAGTAAACTAGTAAAATTCGTGCTTTGTGCTTCGTGCTTTTTGCTTCATGCTTTATGCCGTTTTTTTCATTCCGAGGAAATTCATGTATTCATGTGGAACTCAGGTACCTTTCAATTCTTCCAAAAAATTACTAATATTGGGTTGGGGACTATGACTCGGCGCCGAAAATCAAAAAAATGTCTAAAACTTCTATTCGACTTTGTCAAATAATATGCGTTTGATATGAGTAGAATGGTTAACTAATTCTCTACAAAATGACATTTAAAAGAAAATTCAAACAGCGCCTCCGCTCAAGAAAAAGCCATTTTTTCACAAAAACTACAAACTGTCATCTAGAAAAAACCATTGGTGGGATCTTCCTGCAAATTTGGCAACTTAAGTAATTGAATGTGCTCTATCTTTTTTATATAAACACCAAAGAAGGTTTATGTGAAAGAAACTGTTCAAATGATGAGTCGGGCTCTTTGCCATTTTGACTAGCTGTGTTTGGGAGTCCATAAACTCCACGAAAGAAAAGCTTTGTGGAATCTCTCAAAAGTCATTTTGTAGAGAAATAGTGGATCCTTTTGATGAAACCAAAGGTATATTTAAAGAAGGCTTTATGTGTGCAAAAAGTCCCTTTAAAGTTTGGCGCCGAGTCATAGTCCCCAACCCAATACGTGTCATTTTTTTCTAAATGTTGCGCTCCACTTTCTTTGTTTACTGATTTATGTTATTTTAAAGTGTTAGATAGATTATAGGATGGTTTTTATAGGATGTTTTTTATAGGAGGCGATTATAGGATAGCTTTTTACACCTTGTGTGACGTTTTTTTTAATCTTTTCTCAGTTTATTATACATTTAGTGATTGGTTGAATGTCATGGTAATTAAATCTGAATAAATCTGAATAAAATCTGAATTTACTCTTTTGACTTCGGTTTAATAAAGCGCAATTTTTTAGAAAAACTGAATGGTAGCTGAGCATGAATTTTCACACGGCATGAAGGCATGAATTTTACTAGTTGCCAGGCTAATGTGTTGCACAACAACATAAAGTTTTTACTAACGGTCACAAGATTGAGCAACATAATAAACCGCTTGTTTTGACTAGGATTTGTCAGATGTTGATATTTTAGAGAGGCAACAACTTCAACTACGACAACGACTACAACTGCAATCACGACCACGACAACAACCACAACAACAACGACTACAACGACAACAACGATGACAACAACAACAACGACAACGACAACAACAACAACAACAACAACAACAACGACAACAACGACAACAACGACAACGACAACAACGATGACAACAACAACTACAACAACTACAACGACAACAACGATGACAACAACAACTACAACAACTACAACAACTACAACAACTACAACAACTACAACAACTACAACAACAACGACAACAACAACTACAACAACAACGACAACAACAACTACAACAACAACTACAACAACAACGACAACAACAACTACAACAACAACTACAACCACGACGACCACTACAACAGCAGGGACCGGCTCCATTGACTACCAATATGAAGACCAAGAGGTGAGGTTAAGAAAAGAAGAGTAGATACAGAGATAAGAGATTATATGTCGTAGCCGATTATGAATGAAATTTTTTGGCAAATCTTTCTATTAGAGCAACCCTTTAATGTATGAGGGCAATATTAAATCATTTTATACCTAATTAAATTCTGCATCGATTGGCACCAAATTTGTGAGTCTAGGTTAAAAATTGCCAGCGCTAAAACGTTTCATTAAAAATCGACGGGACCACCGTAGCCGATTATGAATGAGTGGGACTAGGAGCGTCCAACCATCAAGTATTTGATCTCATTCAACGCAGAGTCATTGACAAAACAGACAAAACGGCTAGATCAAATTACAGAAAATTGTCGATTTTTCTCTTTGTATAACTGCGTCCGTTTGTTTCCACAAGCTCTGATATGTCAAAATTTCGATTCTACGCCCTAAAATTACCTAGAACCTAGAAAAACAACATTTGAAATAGAAATTGGTTAATATTAGCTTTTTAGAGCTTTTGTAAAACGCCAAAAAAGGTGCGCTAATGGGCAAGGTGCGCAAAAAAAGGTGCGCAAATGTCCGGGTGCGCAAAAAAAGGTCGCATTTGTCCCACTCCCCATAATCGGCTGAAATTCATAATCGGCTACGACACATATAACTGTTTTTAGTTGAGCCCTGATGACATCGACAAGCTGAAACCCGATCCAAATACTCTATTCGAGACGCCACGGGGAAAAGGATGATTCAACACCTTTGTTGACTAATAAATTCAATATGCTTAACTTGTTATTTTAACTTTTAACTCAATTTAACTTGTAGCTTAGCTTGTCATTTTTAGTAAAAGACAAAAGGTAGCTTTTAGCTTTTTTGTCATTTTGAAAGAACTTTTAAGGAAGAACAGAAAGACTTTGAACTTTGATTGCTCTGTCTTTGATTGCTCTGTTTAAACCATGTCTCAAACTTCACTTTAAACCTGTATCAAACTCTCCAATGTTTCTCGTTTTCTGTATTTCCAAGAAAAAGCAACAAACTATAAGCCTTAGAAATGACAAAGGAAAAAGCAAAAATTGAATGCGGAAAAAAAATGAAATTGAAAGTCTTCTGTAGGGAAATTAGGGCGGTCCGCGAATCGAATTTTGCGGAGGTGAGCGAAACGACTTTTCGAAATATTTCATTTCCAACAAAAACATTTCATTTTTTTTCCGATATGAAGGGTTTTGCAAGTGATTTAACATAGTCTTTGGTTTCAGAGTTTTAAAAATAGCTTTGTTTTGAAGTTTAAAAGAGAATAGAAGAATTTAGAGGAGAATAGAAGAATTTAGAGGAGAATAGAAGAATTTAGAGGAGAATAGAAGAATTTAGAGGAGAATAGAAGACTTTAGAAGAGAATAGAAGAATTTAGAGGAGAATAGAAGAATTTAGAGGAGAATAGAAGAATTTAGAGGAGAATAGAAGAATTTAGAGGAGAATAGAAGAATTTAGAGGAGAATAGAAGAATTTAGAGGAGAATAGAAGAATTTAGAGGAGAATAGAAGAATTTAGAGGAGAATAGAAGAATTTAGAGGAGAATAGAAGAATTTAGAGGAGAATAGAAGAATTTAGAGGAGAATAGAAGACTTTAGAAGAGAATAGAAGAATTTAGAGGAGAATAGAAGAATTTAGAAGAGAATAGAAGAATTTAGAAGAGAATAGAAGAATTTAGAAGAGAATAGAAGACTTTAGAAGAGAATAGAAGACTTTAGAAGAGAATAGAAGAATTTAGAAGAGAATAGAAGACTTTAGAAGAGAATAGAAGACTTTAGAAGAGAATAGAAGAATTTAGAAGAGAATAGAAGAATTTAGAATAGAATAGAAGAATTTAGAAGAGAATAGAAGAATTTAGAAGAGAATAGAAGAATTTAGAGGAGAATAGAAGAATTTAGAGGAGAATAGAAGAATTTAGAAGAGAACTTTAGAAGAGAAATTTTTTGCTGTACTTCTGGATAGTTTTGAAGTTTTTTTTCTGTACTTCTGCACTCTATCCGTGTACTAAAATTTAAGCACGACACTTGAAAAGCCCTTGAAACATAAAACCATTAAAAAGAACGATTGCAATTGATTTTTGCTGTTTCAAAATTGCTACCTTGTCTGAGTCTAAGAAATTTCATTCTACAGACAATTTAAGAGCACAATTTGAATCTAAATTGAATTTTGGCTTTTTTGGCTATCTTGCACAACCTTTTTTTTGACTTTCTTATGTGAGCAAATCAAATTTCCTTGAATTTTAGAATTAGAATTAGAATTTATGAATCAAGACGAGCAGCTATCGATTCGTTTCGTCACCTACTCAGTGATCGGCTTCTTTGTTCTCCTCTTCAATGCGATTTCAATCGCAACCTTTTTTGCTCACCGTGATCGATCTCGTTTCACCATATATCAATTCTTATGCATCGCTGAATTTGTGGGTTTTATTAAAACAAGAGTATGCTCTTGTTTTTAAGAATTAAAAGGTTTAAGTAAAGTCGAGAAAGTCTGCTTTAACATTTGCTAATAGTCATTCAAGAATTGTATTTAAAAATATAGTCGGCAAAAAAAGTCTTGCACCAATGTTGTATTCTGTTGTTTACTATGGTATAGACGACATTTAATGCCTTCTCCGTTTGTACTTTTAGTAACTTTTAGTAAGGTCGAGTTACTAAAAGTACAAAACGGAGAAGGCATTAAATGTCGTCTATGCCATAGTAAACAACAGAATACAACAATGGTGAAAGACATTTTTTGCCGACTCTACATGTATTCACACGATTAAATGTATTTTTGAATAATATTCTTGAATTTAATAGATTCAGCACAACCACTAAGCTCTAAAAAAGAAAGAAAATAACCATATAAATCAGAAAAAATGAATCAATAATCTAGCGAGAATCGAATCCTTGACCTCCCGACTAACTAGAGAATAGCGCCAACTTAAGTCAGCCTCTTTAAATCACCCCTAGCTTATCTGATAGAGTTTTGAACGGTGATTCCAAATCTGATTTGAGTTTTACTAATGGAGCCGTCTATTATTTTTTTTTTAATAAATTTTTATATATTTTTTTATTTTTAATTTTTTTTTTTATTTTTTTTAAAATTAATTTAATAAAAATTTTTTTAATATAAATTAAAAAATATTTTTATTTTAAATTAAAAAATTAAATTAATTAATTAAAATAAAAAAAAAAAAAAAAAAAAAATTTAAAAAATAAAAAAAAAAATTATAATTAATTTAAATTATTTTTTTTATTATAAAAAAATTTTTTTTTTTTTATTTTTAATATAAATTTAAATAAATAAAAAATAAATTAAAATAAATTATATTTAAAATATTTTTTTTTTTATTAAA